ATAGTGAGACCTTGTCATTAAAAAAAAGGAGTACTATATTTCATACCTGACTGTTGTTGATAGTTTTTCCTACATGACCTCTGCACTAGTTAACCCATCACCAAATGACTTAGCATTTAATTATTCGTGTGTATTTGTGTGTGTGTGTGTGTGTGTGTGTGTGTTGCTGGGGATTAGGACTGAGATTGAACCTAGGACCTCATACACCTATATTGTGCTGTCTCATGTGTTACTTGTCACCCCAATTAAATTGGAAGTCTTACAGATATTTTTTTCTCAAATGCCTTGTACCTTAGGTACATGAATGTATGACTGATACCACAGAAAAAAAATGGTACAAGTGACATCATCACCACCTCCTCCAGGTAGCTGTTTCCATCTCTATCACCAGCTTTGGCGAAAGATTTTCAATGGAGTTTTCTTTAAATGTCAGTAGGGTGGTTCCTTTGGTTTACTCTTGTGTATTGATTCTTTGAAGGCCATCTGAGTAGCACCTCATGGGGTCAGCTCATTTACCAAATATTTTGAAACTAATGATAGGCCTAAGATGCTATGTATGCCTAATGTATTATAAATGTTAAAAATTCACCTCCTCAAAGGGCTTGGGTTTGAATTTCAGCTGTGTGATCAGAGCCAGTTATTTATTCAGTTTCAATAGCAATGCAGTGGAGATAATCATAGTACCTTGTGGAGTTCGTGTAAAACAAGAAAATAAATACAAAGAACTTAGAATGGCACATGACACTTAGTACATGACAGGTGTCAACAACACCCCAAACTAAACACATTTATTAAACCACAAGGCAGAACAATTGAGCTGTCTGAGGCTGATGGCCTTATTTAAAATATATGCTTCATGTAAGGAAGCCTAGAAAATTTTACTTGATTAGCTATGACCCTCCTCACCTAACAATTTCTTTTCTTCTTTTTTTCCTTCTTCCTTCCTTTTTTCCTTTCTCTGTCTTTCCTTCCTTTCATTTTTCTTTTTTCCTTTTCTTCCTCTTTTTTCATTCCTTTGTTCCTTCCAATCCCCAACAGTTACTAAAAGATGACTTTAATACTTTTTTGGGGGGGTACTGGGGATCGAACTCTGGACCTTGTGCTTGCGAGGCAGGTGGTGGCATTTTTTTTTTTTTTTTTTTTTTTTTGGTACTGGGGATCGAACTCTGGACCTTGTGCTTGCGAGGCAGGTGGTGGCATTTTTTTTTTTTTTTTTTTTTTTGTGAGGGAAGAGAAATGATGCAAACTAGCATATAAGTAAAGTATCTTACAACCCTGGGACATTTGAGACACCAAGGGTGCTGTTTTAGATAAGCCAGACCACTATAGGAGAGAGAAGAAAAATGTGAGGAAGATAATTTGAATCTCCCAACACTGCACTTCAGAAAGGCAGACATCTGAACATCTAAACTGCTGAAGGATGCATGTTGCCTTGTTTGCTTCCCAGAATGTGGAAATAGGGAGGAGTAATAGACAGACGATGCTGGTCCCTTCTAGGGGGTGTTTCTGAGTTCACACATCATCCAAATAGAACCTCCAGGTAGCGGAAAAGGAGTAATAGTTCACAATGCACAAACATCAGTACAAACTGAAGAAACCCAAATCTTTTACCTATTTTAGCCATTATTGTGAATAAAGCTTCAGCTTTTTTAATATTAAGGTATTAAGATTTGGCACCTTGTACTTTACATTACCATAAATTCAAGTCAACTAGAAAACCAGGATAAAAAGATACATAGAGGAAATTTTCTGGTTGTATCTGTGTAAAGTGTAGATATATATGCCTTTCTTTTTAAAATAATCATTGCTTTTAGATAGATGAGAAACATTGCAAATTCAAGAATAAAATACTAGTATGTAAAGCAGGAACACAGTGTAGTATCGCTGCCTTCTGGAACATGGTCAAATTCCCAAATTAGTCAATTAAGCTATGAATTGTACAGTACATATTTCTATAGAAGATATGGAATGTAAGGTCCAGGAGGGGAAGCAAAAAGGATAAAGACAGGATATGTATATGTACCAATTCCCCAGGAAGAATGTGTTTATTTTGCATTACAAACATTAATTAAAAAGTTTAAGGTGCAGGTATCTAGTGTCTAAGTGGTTAAAATCAGGATTCAGTTAAACATATGAACATTATTTTCCCTCCCAAAGACCACTAAGAGAATTTCAGCATTAGCACAGGCCATTTTTTGTTTGGTGTGATAACTGAAGATGAAAATACTACTGTTAATTTGTAACATGTGAGACATTTAACAAGTGACTAAAATAAAACCCATCATGGTTTTGGAGACAGAATAAGTAAGGAAATAAATATTTGTTTGTTTGTTTTGCAGTGCTAGAGATTTAAGTCAGGGCCTTGTGCTTGGTAAGCAATTGATCTACTGCTGAACTGTATCCCCGGCCCTTTTTAATTTTTTTAAAAATTTTTCACATTTATTTGAGGCAGGGTCTTGCTATGGCATCAAACTCATGATTCGCCTTCCTCAGCCTCTTGAGTGCTGAAACTACAGATGTGCACCACCACATCTGGCTAGAAGTATTGGTTTTAGCTGACAGGTTTTTTGTTTTCTTGATATCCTTAGCATTTTGTTTGTGATCAATTACCATGAAAATAAACCTGGGTTTGACTTCTATTATGTTTGATTACATGTGTTTAACTTTACTGTGCAAACCAGTATTCACCTTGAGATGACAATATTCTGAGTCACCTATGGAAAATGTCCAGTATACCCAGGATGGCATACAGAAGTTCTAAGTAGACCTTTTCTCTAGATAGTGCAGCTGTCAGCTTGGTATCTCATTACTTATGTCTTGTAGATGGTTAGAGTTAGCAAACTGTGCAGTTGTGTTTGTGTGTGGCACAGGCGTGTATGTTTTCTCAGGAATGTATTTGAGAGCAACAGATGATCCCAAAGGGCAAGGGAGTGTTATTTTTAGACACAGTTACATCAAAGTAATGATCTGAGTCTAGGAGATTTCTCTGTAGTTTGGAAAGAGGGTGGAGAAATTCATAACAATAGAGGGTCCTTATTGGAGGAACATTGATTTATTGGTTAATGATGGTAGCAACAATTACTGTTCTGTCAGTGCCTTTACAAAAGCATGTGCGCATTATTTTGCAAGTGAGGAAAGAGGCTTAGAGAAATGAGGCAACCTACGTGAAGATGTGTAGACAGTGATCGGCAGGGCTAAAATTTACCTCAGGTCTGCCTATATTGCCAATTGGCTTTCTTTACTACCACAATAAACCTATTCAGTAAAATTTCAGGAAAGAGAGCTATAGACAGGGTACACTGGCATATCTGTATTCCCAGTTACTCACAGGAGGCTGAGGCAAGAGAGAATCCTGGGTTTGAGGCCAGCCTCGCCAATACAGCAAGATCCTATTTTAAAGAAGAAAGAAAAGATGGATATATGTACAGCTTTGGCAACAAGTCCATTTGTGTGTCTAAGGAAATGATAGGAGACGACATTAAGAAGCACTTAACTGAATATGTGCCAGGCACTAACCTAACCACTTTAAATGGGTTATTGCCTCAAACACCTTCAGTAGCCCATGAGATGGGCACTATTACTATGTGCAAATGAAGAAACTGAGCGCTCAGGTGGTTGAATCTGCTGGCTAGGACCCTCATGGGTTCTCAGGAAGTAAATATTCTGAAGTGCAAATAATATTTTGATGGCTTTAGAGACATCAGATCTGGATTCAGCTTTCTTTTTAAAAAAAATTTAAATGTATTTTTATTAGTACATTTTTGCAGTATATAGTGATTCCGTTCATTGTGGGGAGTTGGTACATGTGCATAACACATCTCAATTCTTTTGACTTCCCCTTTCCTTCTCTGTCTTCTCCCTTTCCTTCATCTTTAAATCCCTTCCCTGTTTGCAAAAGATCTATCTCTTATTCCTTTGCTTACTAGCACTATAGCCTTAGCTGAGATTCTTCACTTCTGCAAGATTCACTTTGCCAGCAGAGATAGTGATACCCATCTGATCAGGTATAACGGAAAATTAAATGAAGTGTACTCTGATATGTGCATGGGAAAGATACCTTACTGCTAATACTGGCTTTATTAATATTAGTAAATGAAATTTAATATTAATATTGTTGCCATTCGTCATAGAGGCTTTCAAAATTTTTTGAAATCTCAGAATTTCCATGAATTTATCTTGCCTTGACTGGAAATCTTCCTGGGTTGCATTTCAATACGTCCAGTCTATTCTGACATCACCTCCTCACAGGAAGTTTCCCTAATGCCCTGTAGAACAAGGCATGTGTCTTATATCATAAGTCTTAATCTCGTCACATTCATAGATTTCTCCCATGCACCTGACACCAAGTGCAGCCTGCCCTGTCTGAGAATGATGTTGGCAATTTAGTGAATAAAAAGACTGTGAATTTATTTGACAGTTAATTTAGTGTCAGGACAGTTATTTTTTTAAAAATTATTTTTAAAAAAGGAAGTGTCCTCCTTTGATCTTGACTAATGTCTCAGACCTTGAGTCAGAGAGGTAGGCGCTTTTATTTTTAATTAATTAATTAATTAATTATTTTTTTTTTTGTACCAGGGATCGAACTCGGGTTTTTATGCTTGTGAGGCAGGCAGTGGCACCACTGAGCTAAATCCCCAGCCAAGCACTTTGGTGTTTTAAGAAACATGAACTGCCAGGGGTGGTGGCTCACGCCTGTAATCCTAGCACTTGGGAGGCTGAGACAGGAGGATCGCTATGAGTTCGAGACCAGCCTGGACTACACAGTGAGTTCCAGGTCAGTCTCAACTACACAGTGAGACCCTCTCTCAGAAAACCAACCAACCAACCAACCAACCAACCAACCAACCAAACAAACAAAACCAACATGAACTGAACAAGATTTTAGAACAGTTGTATTTATGTAGGGTCATCTTTTGTAACCTATTCTCCAGAGATTGAAAATGACCCTGCAATCTTTATTGTGGCTGAGGACGAGTTGAATATTTCTGGGTGCTCTTTGTCCTTAGCATTAGAATGTGGCTTCCTGGTGCTCCTGGCCTTGAACCTATGCTTAACCGCAGGCCATAAGGATTTCAGATAGAGACTCAGGACAGATTGGAACCTCTGTAAGCTGTGGCCAACCAGTGCCAGTTACTTGGTATTCTTTGGAATTTCTGGACAACTTTCTTACTGTCTAGGGCAAGTAGTCCAGGGATGAAAGATGAAAGATTGACTTAGTTGACTTAAAGTCTGATAAGAGTCTGCAGTATAGTAAGGTTTCCAGCTAAATGTAAGCACTGGATAAATTTTACCTATTGTTATTGGTGGTAGGGTTAGATTTCTTCTTTATATTGCATCAAAATCTGCCTTCCCATAACTCTCTACC